ACTGATTTCAACAAAACTTCACTTTTTTTTGGCAGGTAGTGTTTCTTATTGTCTTGCACACTTTTTTCTTTATTTTTACATTCAGAATGCTTTAAAAATTCCATTTACAAGACAATTGTTTATAATAAAATTCTATTCAATCGGTAGACTCATAACGATTGAAAACAATGTTTTTGTTTGAGTTTGGGTTTGACCAATTCATAAAAAAAAAAATAATTAAGACATGCGTGTCCGTCAAGCTTAAACAATAATCTTTGTCAATTTTATTTTTCAGTCTTTATGATGGTCGATACTTGATCTATCTCTTACTGTTACATCCCCGGGCAACGCCGGGCTCTATTGCTAGTATTAAATAAAATATTGTTCAACCAAAGAACTGTTGTAGCAAATATATTCAATAACAGGAAACACTCAGGATAAGCTATATAATACTATAGCAGCTTTATATTCGTTTTAAGCGGCTTTCTAATGATGTCATGAACATGATCAAAGCAGAATTTAAATTGGCAATCTAAACACGACATACGATGATGGAAAAAGAAATACAAAATTTTGGTGAATTTAAAATTTATTTTATTCTGTTCATTTTTGTTTTACATTTCTATAGGATGAAATCAAATAAAAAAAAAAGCTTTACAACTTTTAAAATAATCCATGGCCTTGATCTTGAATAAAACCTACACGCAATTTACAAGAAAGAAAGAAAGAAAGAAAGAAAGAAAGATACTAATACACAAATGCAGGGTACAATGGATAAATTGTCGTCTAGATCACACGAAAATAAAAATAACACCGAAATTTGGATAATTTCCCACTTTGAACATGGCATGGTGGGTCCTAGCTTTGAAGGTCTGGGATAGTGGAACTAATATGATAGATAGATAGATAGATAGATAGATAGATATGAACAGTCAGATAGATAGATAGATAGATAGATAGATAGATAGATATGAATAGACTGAGAGAGATAGATAGATAGATAGATAGATAGATAGATAGATAGATAGATAGATAGATAGATAGATAGATATGAACAGTCAGATAGATAGATAGATAGATAGATAGATAAATAGATAGATAGAAACAAATACACAAATGCAGGGTGCAATGGATAAATTGTCGTCTAGATCACACGAAAATGAAAATAACACCGAAATTTGGATAATTTCCCACTGTGAACATGGCATGGTGGGTCCTAGCTTTGAAGGTCTGGGATAGTGGAACTAATATGATAGATAGATAGATAGATAGATAGATAGATAGATAGATAGATAGATAGATATGAACAGTCAGACAGATAGATAGATAGATAGATAGATAGATAGATAGATAGATAGATAGATATGAATAGACTGAGAGAGATAGATAGATAGATAGATAGATAGATAGATAGATAGATAGATAGATAGATATGAACAGTCAGATAGATAGATAGATAGATAGATAAATAGATAGATAGAAACAAATACACAAATGCAGGGTGCAATGGATAAATTGTCGTCTAGATCACACGAAAATGAAAATAACACCGAAATTTGGATAATTTCCCACTGTGAACATGGCATGGTGGGTCCTAGCTTTGAAGGTCTGGGATAGTGGAACTAATATGATAGATAGATAGATAGATAGATAGATAGATAGATATGAACAGTCAGACAGATAGATAGATAGATAGATAGATAGATAGATAGATATGAATAGACTGAGAGAGATAGATAGATAGATAGATAGATAGATAGATAGATAGATAGATAGATATGAACAGTCAGATAGATAGATAGATAGATAGATAAATAGATAGATAGAAACAAATACACAAATGCAGGGTGCAATGGATAAATTGTCGTCTAGATCACACGAAAATGAAAATAACACCGAAATTTGGATAATTTCCCACTGTGAACATGGCATGGTGGGTCCTAGCTTTGAAGGTCTGGGATAGTGGAACTAATATGACAGACAGACAGACAGACAGACAGATAGATAGATAGATAGATAAAACATACACGCAATTTACAATCTGCCGTTAACTGGGGCAAGGAATGGCCTGTTAATTTTAACGCCTCCAAAACGAAACTTCTCTCTATTAATTGCCTGAGAGAAGCCTTTCTGCCTTCCATCAGCATGGCTGCTGCTAACCTTCAGGAAAGTGATTTATTGTGCTTTCTTGGGCCATCGTTCACACCTGAGACGAAGGATTATATTGACTCAATTGTTAGGTCTGCTGTTGGGTAGGTGGGTTCACTGTATCGGGCTAGACAATTTTTCTCTCCAGAATCTATCTTACATATTTCTAATTCTATCATTCACGCATGCTTTGAATATATATATATATATATATATATATATATATATAATAAATTTTAAAAACAAACAAAATCCTTAAATGTAGTTAAAATGAAAAAATGTCGACGTCTGACGTTTCGGTTTAATAAACCTTTTCAATGAACAATATTCATCAAAATACAATTCAGTTCAATATGACAAATACGATGGACATAAAACACAAGTCTTATTCAACGATCGAAATTTTAAAAAATAATTCATTTTAACTGTATTTAAACAGATGTTTTTTCAAAATTTTCATTCTGTCGTGGATTTATATCCATTTAGATTATATCCATTTTTATATATATATATATATATATATATATATTGTGTATATTTACGCAGCAATTTTTCATTAATGCATGTTTCATTAAATAATATAGACAATTTTTCTATTTATTTTAAGTAAGTTCCTTTCATATTGTCTGATAAGCTTAATCCCATTATCATTGAAAGACGAAAGGAAATCACCATATTGATACATGTTTAAATCCAATCTAAGCTTTCGACTTACATAAGCCATTATCAAAGATGACAATTACTTTTCAATATATCAACCAATATTCGGACGAAACAATACACTAGTTAGCCGTTGCTTTGAAATTTTTCAGGCAAGAAAAATCATTACTGTATATATATATATATATATATATATATATATATATATATATATTATCATCGACAGACAGACTGTTTCGCTGCTCATCAGTGTTGCTAGACATCCGAGTGTCTCAAGCCAGGATCGAACCCCGACTGATTGGGTATTAGTCAGAGATTTTACGTCTAAGACATTGGTGCACGGTACGGCTGAAGGTGAGTTTAAAAGTATTGATTTTGGAGACAAACGTCGTATATATATATATATATATATATATATATATATATATATATATATATGGTAATACTCATTTTAAAAAATATCGGTTAGCTCAACTTGTAATATAACAAATTGATGTCCGAGGAAAAAATTGGAAATAAAAAAGAAGGAATCAAGGCCATAACACTGTCCGAATCTTCTCGTCAAGTGCTTGAGCTTCAAGTCCAAAGAAAAAACAAAACAAAACGAGTAAAAGACTAAACGTAAAGTGCTCAATACACTAAGAAGAGCAAAAACTAAAATACTCCTAATGAGCCAGGCAAACCTACCTAGCTTTTACCTGAACGTTTCTTCAGGGTAAAACTGGCTAAAAAGGCAAATAATGGAACAATATTTATTGATAAAACCTAATAAAACCACGACCACGTGACAAAGAAAAGAAAAATGAAAATTACGATCCAATTCATCAGACCTACAAATTTGGAATTTGTTGGTCTGATGAATTGGATCGTGATTACAATTCCAATGTAATAAATTATAACCATGGAATATTAGTGCTTAAGCCTTTTTATTATATTCTTACTCAGCCCTGGACATTGAGTTCTACCTGGATTCTATCTTCTTGGAAACTTTATATATATATATATATATATATATATATATGTATATGTGCATATTGACCACTAATATTACATACTTTATACACTGTGCCATGTGTCCTTGAGGACATATCTGTATGAATTTCTGGGTATTATAAACCTAATGTCTTCAGTAATCATTTTACTAGTGCTCATATTTCTGCTGTTATCATTGCATGTTTTTTTTTACCAGAGTTCATATGTTGTAATGAAAATGACAAGAAAGATGAGGGCAATAGTCCGAATAATGTAAATAGTGTACATAATACCTCATCTGAGAAATATAGACAGATACTAAAGGGCCGAAACGCTGTAATAAATATGGAGACAAGGATGAGGACAATAGTCCGAATAATGTAAATAGTGTACATAATACCTCATCTTAGAAATATAGACAGATACTAAAGGGCCGAAACGTTGTAATAAATATGGCAACTAAGATGAGGACAATAGTCCGAATAATGTAAATAGAAGCGCGTTATATACTTGATGGGATTGATGGTAAATGGATACAGAATAAGTAATGGAGAATGATTAAACAAGACAAAAGTTTGGGAGAAAAATTGAAAGTGCAAGACCAAAAATAATCAAAACCTACAAAGGAAAGGAAGATGTGGAGTGTCATTGTCGCCTACGTCTTGAAGGGACACGGCATATAAAAGAAGAAGCTTGAATTCGTACGTATAAAAGGTCTACATTTTCCATCACCATCACGTTCTGTCTCACCGTTTTGAATGGTGTGAAATTTCACTGGGATAAAACTTGCAAAGTAATAATGTCTTTGATGCGAACATCTGCGATAGAATTATGACGGAGTAGTTGGCGGTTACAAGGCGTTGATTTGAACGAATCAGGAATATATCTATTTTTTGAAAATGCATTATTTTATTTTGAAAACGTGACGTCTGTCAAACATTTTTTCATTAGCCTTTACGATTTTCAATCTGAATTTGGGCTTTACTTGCTTAAGCCTGTTAATTGAGATTGTCGGGATTGGCGGCAACAGACAGACATTCCCATTCAAACAATATACGAGGAAGAAAGACATTAAAAAAGAAAAGAAGGCAAAAGAAAAAAAAAGGGCGAAGAATAGGATTTCAGCAATTAAAATAGGTTCATATAAAATTGAGGAGAAAGAAGACTGGAAAGAAAAGAAAGAAACAAAAAGAAAGAACGATGCTGACGGAAGGAAGGAAGGAAACAAAAAGGAAGGAAGGTCAGTTGAAAGAAAGAAAGAAAGAAAGATAAAGAAATTGAATGAAAGAAAGAAAACAGCGCGTAATAAGGAAGGAAGGAAGGAAATTATTCGGAAAGAAAGAAAAGGTGTTTGGAATGTCGAACTGAAAAGGAAGTAAGAAAAAAGAAAAAAGAAAGAAAGAAAGAAAAAAATGGGAATGGTAAAGAATGAGTACAAGTTTGGGAAGAAAAAGAAAGAAAGAAAAAAGAAAGAAAGAAAGGACAAGCATAAAAAAAAAGAAAGAAATAAAAATCACCATCACGTTCTGTCTCACCGGAAGGAAGAAGAAAGAAAGTAAAAGGAAGAAGAGAGAAATGAAAGAAAAAAGAAAGAAAGGAAGTCTGTCAAAAAGAAAGAAAGAAAGACGGCAACAGGAATTCCCATTCAAAAAAAGAAAGAAAGAATTCAAAAAAAGGAAGGAAGGAAGGAAGAAAAGCGAAAAGAAAGAAAGAAAGAAAGAAAGAAAGAAAGAAAGAAATAAAGGAAGGAAGGAAGAAAGAAAAGAAAGAAAGGAAGAAAGAAAGAAGAAAAAAGAAAGAAGAAAGGAAAGAAAGGAAGGAAGGAAGGAAGGAAGAAAGGAAGGAAGGAAAGGAAGAAAGAAAGAAGGAAAGAAAGAAGAAAGAAAGGAAGAAAGGAAGAAAGAAAGAAAGAAAGAAAGAAAGAAAGGAAGGAAGGAAGGAAGAAAGAAAGAAAGAAAGAAAGAAAGGAAGAAAGAAAGAAAGAAAGAAAGAAAGAAAAGAAATACAGAGAGTAAGTTAAATTTTTCTATGTGAGGGAATAGAGAGAAAGAGAGTCAATAAGCGAGTAAAAAACAAAACAAGAAAGAAAGAGGGAATTAATAAAGCATAGCTGAGATGAAACACAAGACCGAACATATGGGGCACGCAGTGAGGATCGAACTCGCTTCTCAGTCGTAACTGATCTAGCGAGACAAGCTTTGCTAATCATTACATTACGTCAAAGTGCCCACCTAGTATGGGACATCTAGTGAGAATCGAACTCACTACTCAATCATGATCTAGCAAGACGGACTTGCTAACCATTACACCACGTTGAGGTGCCCTTTCTCTAAGCGTAGCTAAGGTGTGGCACAAGGCCGAAAATATGGAGCACCCAGTGAGGATTGAACTCAGAACTCAGTCATAATTGATCTAGCGAGACAAGCTTGCTAACATATTACACTATGTTGAAGTGCCCGTCAGGTGATTTTCTAAGCGTAGCTTAGATATGGAACAAGGCCGAAAGTATGGGATCCCCAATGCGGATTGATCTCACTATTCAGTCGTAATTGATCGAGCGAGACGAGCTTGCCAAGAATGGATGGAGTTGAGAGAAGAAGAAAAAAGAAAAACGAAAGGAATGAAAAGAAACGTGAAAAGAAAAGAGAGAAACAAAAAGGTATAGAGAGGAGGGGAAGAGAGAAAAGGAACACCATTTACATTATTCGGATTATTGTCCTCATCTTTGTCGGCATATTTATTACAACGTTTCGGCCGTTGTACACTCCGGCCTTCTTCAGGTGGTCGGAATGTCGAACTGAACCCTTTATTTCGCTCACTGGGGTAAACTGTTCTAGTTCCACGTGCCATGTCTAATGGATGTCAGTTGTCAGTTATCTCCTGTTAATTCCCCTCTGAAAGTTCTCCACTGTCTTAACCAGGTATTGAACTCACACTCTTTGGGTCCTGTCACTGGATCTAACCAACGCCTTTATCCTTGAGGACTACCCCAGTGACTGAAGTAAAGGGTTCATGTAACGCGCGTGAGCTCCCCACTTTTAACCGACCTTATACCATATCCCGTCCCCGTGGGGGACGAGTATATACCAATTACCGTATCTGTTCCCTCGTCCCTGCTAGCAATTATAATATCAGCCGTTTCTTTATAAGGAAATACACGGCGTTCATTGGGCGAATAGCCAATGTTTCTGTAAGTTGAAATTTACAAACTGTTTCTCTTAAAACAATTTCTCAGGAAAATATCTTTCTCAAGTCCATTAACTGTTATAGCTCTTTCCAGTACTGGCGAGAGTTTCATCGCTAATCTTTTGTTTGGAATCGCTAATCTTTTGGAATATCATTAATAATCTTAGGTATGACCGTAAACTACACCCGGCACCAAGGCCTCTTATAGGGAGACTGAAGATTTTAGGGAGCCTGGAACCAACTAATAATTTCTGTTGTTACAAGTTTCACCATGCCACAAGGTAGTAGCACCTGCTAGGGTCCCAGCTATCGGTAAATAGTGTACCACATGCAAAATTCAAAACATTAGTAAAGTATGAAAATACATTTTTATAGTAAGAATACCAGCAATACATTTTTATAAAAAATGACCAACAATACATTTTTGTAGTGAAATTACGAACAATATATTTTTAAAGAAAAATGACCAATAATTTTAATAATAATATGACCAACAGTACAATTTTATAGTAAAATTACCAACAGTACATTCTTAGAGTAACTTGACCAACAATATATATTTGTAATGAATTTATTAGCAAACAAAAAACAAATTACCAACAATAGATTTTATCATCTACAAACAATATATCGAAAAAATATACGTTTGCACTGAAAGTATAAAATTATGTTATATATATGAAAGTATGTTTCAAAAATATTACGCCATAATGCATTTCGCCTATATGGCTTCATCAGATGGATTTTTAGTCCCGAGCAACACCAGCTTGGGAAAATAATATAAGATTTAATTATTTGAAACACACAAATGCATACACACACATTTTCGTTATCCATCTGATGAAGCCATCGAGGTGAAATGCATTATCGGATATTATTTTCGAAACATACTTTCATGAACGTTTTTCCAAATGTCAATAACTTATAACTCTGTCGAAAAATTATACTGTGCCCAGCCCTGGGGGACAGATACCCGAGGCCACGCCCTCTCATTGCACCAGATAGAGGGATCCCTGCTCGGACCGAGGCCAGCGCAACCGATGGTTGCGGGGGCTCGGACAATTTTTCTTCCTAGCCTAGCCCGGGTGTACACGCTCGGGCTCCTTACATTAAACCGACCATGTGTCACAACCTGCTTCATTTTTCTTCTTCATCTGTGATGAAACTGTCACAAATTGGCCTCTATTTAGTAGAACGAATATTTCAGAGGAGTTCAGCATCATCCAGAGAATAAAAAATCGCTCAACCAAATAAAGAATGATCAGCGTGAAACGAAATAGAAGAATTAAAATCCACTAACAAAAACCGTAAAAGCTTAAAAGAGTACGGCTTATTTTCACTAAAAGAGAAAGCGAAAAGGAGCTCTAATCGTTGTTAACTGGGGCAAGAAATGTCTAGTTAATATTAATGTCTCAAAAACAAAACTGCTCTTTATTACCCACCACAGTGAATCCTCCCTGACTCCCATTATGCTCAACTCCACGAGATTCTCCTCCAGTTCCTTTCTCACAAACACAGATTTTCCATAAGGCTCTATCCTGGGCCCTATACTGTTTCTGATCTCCATTAACGGTCTTCCCGATGTCATCAGTTCCTAAGTAGGGATCTATGCAGACAACATTACTATTTACTCCTGCCTGAATAGCAAATCCGGCATCGCTGACAAAACTAACCTGGCCGTTGATCTCGAAAAAGGACCTCCAATCGGTTGTTTACTGGGGCAAGAAATGGCTGGTTAACTTTAATGCCTCAAAAACAAAAAATGCTCTCTTTTAGCCACGACAGAGAACCCTCCCTGACTCCCATTAGAATGTCTGATGCTCAACTCCACAAGAGCACCTCTTTACGACTGCTTAGTCTCACACTGTCCGCTGACCTGAGGTGGAACAAATACATTGAATCGATAGCTTCATCCACCGCAAGGAAAGTTGGTTCTCTGTGTCGCGTCAGAAGGTTTTTTCTCACCCGAATCCATCTTTCAAATCTATGAATCAACCATTTGCCCTTGCATGGAATACCGCTGTCATATATGGTCTGGAGTCCCCGCTGTTCATCTTAAGGCCCTCGACAAAATCCAGAGACGGATACGCAATGTGGTTGACCCTGATCTAGCATCTCGCTTACAGTCACCTCCCTCTGTCTTTTCTACAAATACTTTCACGGTAACTGCTCCGACGAGTTACTTTCGCTAGTTCCCAAACTGCATTAATTTAAACCTGATACTAGGTTGGCATCTCAGTCGAAACGGTTAAATGTAGCCGTCTCTTCTACTCCAGTAGCTTCATGCCTCGCACTTCCAGCCTGTGGAACTCCCTTCCTCTTTCTCGCTTCCCTGATAGCTATAATCGTCAATTATTCAAAGGCAATGTCAATCGACATCTCCAGATGCCTTGATTTAATTCCCCGTCCTTCTCTTCATCCTTTCCTCTATCACCCCTCTTTTCTCTTGCTCTCACCCTCTGTAACCCCTTGCGTGCTAGTGGTACTCCCGCCTTGTTTAGGGTGAAAAGATTTTTGAAAAAGCGAAAAATAGAGATAGAAAGACAAGCAGGCAGCTGTGATCAACTCTCTGACACCCGAGAAATATCGAAAAAAATCTCTTTAGCTCATCAAGAATATAATTTGTAATTATCGTCTGCGTCTTTCATTAAAATTTTCATCGTTTTGATTTGATAGGTTGTATTTTCTCCGTAATACAAAAATAAACAATCTGACTTCGTGATGGAAAATTAATGGCGAATCCTTCAAGTATAAATCACAATAAAGATCTTAAATTTAACAGGAATGTAGACATTACGAATTTATTTTTAATTCGTAACGAGTGTGCACTTTCAAACTATGAAGCGTCAAAAAAAAAAAAGATAGACTGAAACATCTTAAAGACATATTTTTTTCTGTCTGGACTGTTTTAAATAAGGATTAATTTTTGTTTTATTCAAGTGTCCTTTACGCAATTTAATTCCATCATTATTTTCTTCAAGATTCAGGCTAGTGTACAGAAATTGACAGCTGACCGAGAGTCCGTACGTGCAGAGTTACCGTTTTTCATCTGTTCTTTTATTGCATTTGATTCGCTAAGGAAGGTTACCTCTTAGATCCGCAGTTGCTGTTTGACAATGATGGCATTTGGATCCCTAAGAGACTATGGCCCGTTTCAAGGTGTCCTAACATCTCTTCAGTGCTGTAACGCTTCTCCTTTGGCATGGACTTGTTTCAAGAGTAAGAAAGACTTTAGGAGACAGTCGCTTGCCATTCACAGCAGGATGGCTGATCGAACTTTTAGCAGCACATCAATCTCCATGGGTTATTTAATGCCAAAATCTAAATATTTTGAACACTATGACTTCAAGTAAATATATTTTGAATATAATGTTATGCCTTCAACTACAGATAAAATGTATTATTAGTCATTTTGTTATAAAATGTATTGTTTATAATTCTACTATAAAATGTATTGTTGGTCATTTTGCTCAAAAAAACGTATTGATGGTAATTTTACTATAAAAAATTGTTGGTCCTTTTTTTTTATATAAAAGTGTATTGCTGGTAGTTTCACTATAAAAATGTATTTATGTTCATAGTGTTTTTCATTTTGTTTGGGGTTTCAATATTTGTCCATATTTGGAACCCTAACATGTTAGGGTGATCCTGGGGACAACAGCAATTAAGAGGTGGTTCCGTGCGCCTTAAAATCTTTAATCTCCCAGTCTTGCTACTGTAACAGCAGATGGGATCTTAATACTGTAGAAAATGCCTCTATAACACTTTCAGATATGTTAGCGCTTTTAGACCGATCTAAAAGCCGCTTTCTTTCTCTATTCTGTTTCTTCTCTTTTCAGTTAAACAGAAGACATCATATTCGATGAAATTAGATTAAAATAGATTATTTCCCCATTTGAAAACAGGCAAATTAAATGAATCAGTCCATATGCTACGGTTGAATAATTCAATTAGTAAGTGTAGCGTGGCTACAAATATCGAAGAAAATTTCGGTCAAAACATCGCAAAGCGAAGGAAGCGACATCATTCAATAATTAACTCTTTACTTTCTTATATTGATATTTATAAAACCTCAGCAGTGAACGATATTTACCAAACGGAATCGTGGTTTATTTTACATGCAGAAACTGGTTGGGGTATTGAACCTCGGATGTTGATTGTTCCAAAGAGTAAGGAGCGAATTTACCACCATTATACCATGCTGGACCTTATACCATACCAAAACATTTTCATGGGGTAAATGTAACAAAAATGTGATTTTTCTGTGAAAATGCATAACAAGTGATTTTACTATAAAAATGCATTACAAATGATTTTACTATGAAAATAGAATTGAAATGATTTTACTATGAAAATGTATTGCAGATGATTTTACTATGAAAATGCATTGCAAATGATTTTATCATAAAAATGCATTGCAAATGATGTACTATGAAAATGCATTGCAAATGGTTTTACTATGAAAATGCATTGCAAATAATTTTATTATGAAAATGCATTGGAAATGATTTTACTATGAAAATGCATTGCAAATGATTTTACTATGAAAATGCATTAGAAATGATTTTACTATGATAATGCATTGCAAATGATTTTACTGTGAAAATAGAATTGAAATGATTTTACTATGAAAATGCATTGGAAATGATTTTACTATGAAAATGCATTGCAAATGATTTTACTATGAAAATGCATTGGAAATGATTTTACTATGAAAATGAATTGCAAATGATTTTACTATGAAAATGCATTGCAAATGATTTTTCTATGAAAATGCATTGGAAATTATTTTAATATAAAATAGCATTGCAAATGATTTTACTATGAAAATGTATTACAAATGATTTTACTATGAAAATGCATTGCAAATGATTTTACTATGAAAAATGTTTTCAAATGATTTTATTATAAAAATAAATTGCCAATGATTTTACTATGAAAATGCATTAGAAATGATTTTACTATGAAAATGCATTGCAAATTATTTTTCTATGAATTTTTAAAAAAATCGAATTTATATCAAGAAAGGCTGTCAAGCCATTAAAACAGAAAGGGGTACAGGGCGAAATATTATTAAAGAAAGAGATCAATAGAAGAGTAATCAGGAAGACAGTAGATAACGATTGACATTGCATTTACAGTTTTGAACATCAAAGTTGTCTAGAATGCATAGAGCCTGAATAGAATTCCTACAAACAAGAAGTACAAGAAAAGGAACTCTTATCATAGAACCTACGGTTACATCTTGTCATCTCTACTGTAAATTAATGAAACATTGTTGTCAATCTAGTACTGAGCTTAAATTCATTAAATCTAGTTACAACAGCAACAATCACCATGAAAATATTTATAGAAAAAACACAGGAAACTTTACGGCAGTGAGAAAGCGTCTAAAACGGAGATGACAGGTCAGGACCAATTATATTGCTGATTCTTCTTTGGATTTCATCAAGGATCTCTATATAACAGGAGCATCAGACGATGTGAGGCAATAATATTCAAAGAATGGACGAATGGTAGACTCATAAATACGTAAGATAGATTCTGGAGTGAGAGATTTTTTAGCACCACACCGTGAACCATCTTTCTTAGCCGCTGGCCATAGCAACGGATTCAATAAAGTCTTTGCATTTCATGTCAGAATTTTATCCGAGAGGGCGCACCAAGTCACTCACCTGGTGGTTGCCCTCGAATATATACATACTTCCGCCAGGGATCGAATCTTTATTCAGGCTGGTAAATGTTGTTAATGTTGTTTATTATAAACAGATCATTTACTTAAATATTTGTATCTATTAAAATAACGTATAAACAGAAAATATATTAAAATAATAGTCGCACTTAGTTCATACATTCATATGTATGAGGGTCAAGCAGATCAGTTCCCAGGAAACCGACAGCCCGACAACAGCACATGAGATTTGATTATAGTGGTGAAGGTTTCGTGCAGGACCATCCACACTTTTTGAAGGGCCGAATACAGAGACCTGGTGCACTAAGTGCCACATGGTCCCCAAACAACCCTCCGCAGGTTTTGAATTCAGAGTTGTCCTTCTCCTAGACCAGTTGCCATCCAAAGCTATAGAACCCAGTCTGTCCTGCTATTTACCCATAGCTGGAGGGAGAAGAAGATTGGCACCTTTTCCAAGTTAATGTAATGGATTCGAATGGAATTCGAACTCGGCAATCAAGCCGCTATCCATTACCCCACCGTACTTTTCATATATATATATATATATATATATATATATATATATATATATATATATATATGGGACTAAAGAAGCTTGGACGTGTTTTCAGTGCATTTCTCTTCTTCATATAAATATTGAGGATCATCAGCCCATCTCATATTTAGAACTCAGACAGCCTAGATTATATATATATATATATATATATATATATATATATATATATATATATATATATATATATATATATATATATATATATATATATATATATATATATATATATATACATTACGATATATATATATATATATATATATATATATATATAATCCTTTACATCACCATCCCAGCTGAAAAATGCCTAAATCTTTTAACAAAATCCAAAAAAAAGTTGAAGTTAAACATCTCGCTACCAACAGCAAAAATAACAAAATTCTGTCGTCTCATCACCAATCAATGCTATTTCACATTTAAAAATGACTTTTACATTCAAATATTGGGATTAACAATGGGATCTCCCCTTAGTCGGGTGTTGGCTTGTCTTAGAATTTTTCTTAGAATTTCTCGAATCGAAATATAATACCCAAAACAATCAACATACCCACGATATATTGACGATGCTCTGTTAATATACTCTCATGTAACTGATTTACTAGACCTTGTAAATAAACTAAACAAAGCCGAAAATATAATAGAATTTACATCCGAAATGGAAGAATACAATACTTTACTTTACCTAGATATGATGCTACACTGCATTAAAAACAGTTAAAAACTTGGTGTCTAACAGAAATCGACCAAACAAAACGAATAAATTTCTGTTCTCATGATAACAACAAAATAAAATCTGGTGTAATCATTGGAACCTACTTAAGAACACCCAAAATTAGCATTCAATATAAAAAAAAAAATAGACAACAAAAAGTATCAGGTGTAGATGCACGAAATACGTGAAAATAAAGAAACTGACGACATAGTACAAAAAGTCTGATGACAGCAAACGAAAGAGGAAAGTGGTCAGACGTTGGGCAAATTAAATTGATATATGTACCCGAAACCAATAAAATTCGTTGGATTTTAACAAACTTGAGTATATATATATATATATATATATATATATATATAGATAGATAGATAGATAGATAGATAGATAGATAGATAGATATGATCAGACTGACTGAGATAGCTGGATAGATAGATAGATAAAAGACTGAGATACATACATGCATACATACATACATATATATGGTCAGACTATCAGATAGATAGATAGATAGATAGAAAAAAGACTAAGATAGATAGATACATACATACATACATATATATTGTCAGACTGTCAGATAGATAGATAGATAGATAGATAGATAGATAGATAGATAGATTTATGCATAGATATGATCAGACTGACTGAGTTAGATAGAAACAGACTGAGATAGATAGATAGATAGATAGATAGATAGATAGATAGATAGATAGATAGATAGATATAAACCATCGGAGATAGACAGAGATGGAGTGAAAGAAAGAAAAAGAGGGAGTAATGAACAGACTGAGATAGATAGATAGATAGATAGATAGATAGATAGATAGATATAAACCATCGGAGATAGACAGAGATGGAGTGAAAGAAAGAAAAAGAGGGAGTAATGAACAGACTGAGATAGATAGATAGATAGATAGATAGATAGATAGATAGATAGATAGATAAACATCCCACTATGATAGACACTCGTGAATAGTGCAAGATGGAAAAGACTGTTTTGATGACTACGTGGCTTCGGAGCAGTGTTTCGATGTCTAAAGCGATGATCTGCAGTCACTAGACACAGATACGAACACAATAAGAGAGGGAGGGAGATAGAGAGAAATAGAGGAGGTGGTGGAGGTGGTGGTGGAGGAGGAAAGTGACAGAATTCTGAAGCGATCGGTAGAAATCAGTCTTAATTAAGTTTATGATGGAAAATTTGTCGTGCAATGTCCTAATACCAATGGCTTAAACGGTCAGCCTACCAAGAAGAAAGAAAGAAAGAAAGAAAGAAAGAAAGAAAGAAAGAAAGAAAGAAAGAAGGGTGACCAAAAGGAAAAAAAGAAAGAATGAAGTAGATAGTAGCAGAAGTAATAGAAAAGGTAACAGAAAGAAAGGCTAAGAGAAAAAGAGAATAGCATAAGAAAAAATAAAGAAACAATAATAGCGGAAGGAAAGAAAGAAAGAAAGAAAGAAAGAAAGAAAGAAAGAAAAGAAAGAAAGAAAGAAAGAAAGAAAGAATATCTGAAGGAAAATAAAGGATGAAAGAAAGATAGAATATCCGAGGGAAAGAAAGAAAATGAAAGGAAGAGAGAATATTTGAACGGAAAGAAAGAAAAAAAGAAAGAAAGAAAGAAAGAAAGAAAAAGAAAGATTGGCAGACAGACAGACAGACAGACAGACAGAAAAAAAGAATATCCGAATGAAAATAAATAAATGAAGAAAGCAAGAAAGAAAGAAAATGAAAGGAAGAAAGTATATCTGAAGAAAAAGAAAGAATAGTTGAAGGAAAAGAAAAACTGAAAGAAATAATACCCGAAGCACAGAAGAAAGAAAGAAATAAAGAACGGAAGAAAGAAAGAAAGAAAGAAAGAAAGATTGACAAACAGACAGACAGACAGAAAGAAAGAAAGAAAGAAAGAAAGAATATCCGAAGGAAAAGAAAGAAAAAAAAAAATGAAAAGGAAGAAAGTATAGCTGAAGAAAAAAAAAAAAGAATATTTGAAAAAAAAAAGAAAAAAGAAAGAAAGAAAAGATTGACAAACAGACAGACAGAAAAAGAAAAAAAAAAAAGAATAAAGGAAAAGAAAAACTGAAAGAAATAATACGAAACAGAAGAAAGAAAAGAAATAAAGAACGAAAGAAAGAAAGAAAGAAAAGAAAAAAGAAAGAAAAAAGAATATTGAAGGAAAAGAAAGAAAAAAAAATGAAAAGGAAGAAAGTATAGCTGAAGAAAAAAGAAAGAATATTTGA